AGGCAACTCCTTCAAGCTATTTAAATTTTCACATACCCAGAAGTTCTGGGCGAGGAGGAGGAGTAGCAACAATCTTTCATTCTGAATTACTGATTACTTCAAAGGCAGTTAATACTTACAACTCTTTTGAAAAATTAACCCTTAATTTCCCTCATCCAAATTTCAAAGTAAGAAAACCTCTTCTCTTTGTAACTTTGTGTCGTCCACCAGCTCCCTAATCTGAATTTTTAGATGAGTTTTCAGAGTTCCTTTTTGATTTGGTAGTAAATACTGACAGGGTCATCATAGTGGGAGATTTTAAAGGAAAAAATCAGGTTATATTCAGAATTCAAACTTCTGAAAGTACTTTAAATAAGTAATTTTCATTTAGATAATGATCCATTGATTATTCCTTGCTGAACGGACTTTTCCTTTAACATCTAAGCTGACATTGAAGGTGACGGCTTAAGTGCAGCCTTTAATGCTATAGAAATGATTGGCTTTGGCTGCCAAAGGTCCAAGTCTTAAATGAACCGGACACAACATGTTAGTCAGCATCACTACTTCAAAGCAGGGCTTTAGTGGTTTGTGGCTTTTTCTGCCTTTTTTCATCCCCCAGGCGACCATATGGCAGAACAACACAAAGCTTTAACTCAACCTCCTGTCAATACTCATAGTGTTCACCTCCTGCTTTGAAAGGTGAACAGCAGGACAATCGTGCACGCACGCAAGAACACTTGCACAAGCAAGCTCACACATATGACTGCAGACCATGCACCCCCCTTTCTTTATGGCTCCCTCCTCTTTCCTCCCATCCTTTCGTTTTCAGATGGAGCCCTTTCACCCGCAGCAGGCAGCAGCTGCAGGGCTGTTTCTCAGAGGGAGGCGGGTCGACAGCAGGAGGAGTCTTTCAGAGATGCACAGCTGATCTCCCAACACTCGGGGCAAAACATTTATTATGTCACAATGTTAAGCCAGTGCATTTTTGGACCCATCATTATTAGGAAAAAGAAGCATTAAATAGAATCAGAAAGCAGATTGACCATATCAATGCGGTTTCTGCACTGTTTTTTTCTCCTCCAATGTTTACTCTTGATCACTGCTGCATTTTAAGAAATGGAAATGTCATTAGGGTTGTATAAAACGAAATTTTGCTTGGTATACACTTTGTGTATACAAAACAACAATAAAAGTTGTCTAAGTCTAAGTCCAGACTCTAAGCAGGAGTCGCGACAGAGGAGCAGAGCCTCTATGAAGGAGATGGGTCTTTGTTTCTGGGTTTGTCTTTGAAAGGTTAATTTCCAGTGTTAGCCCAGCATGTTAGCATCTATTTAATTCAATTACCAAACTAGAATTGTACAGTATAACTAGAGTGATGCAGTGATATTAGTTTTGTTGTCATCAAACCATTGATAACCTGGAGAGAAATATTAACCTTAGTGAAATCTGATAGATGCTAAAATGCATAAAATGATGAAACCCACCACTGCTCCGCTATCTACACAGCAAAGTCGGCTGTGATATCGGACAATTGTAGAGAAGAGGCCCTTGATCTGGCTTAGTGGTGATCAAATAATTACCTTATCCTGAACACTAGCAAGACCATGGAGGTCATAGTGAATTACAGCGGGGACAGGAATACTGAGCACAGTCTCCTCTACATAAAGGGGGTGGCAGCTGAACATATGGACAGAAGGTTCCCACTAACTTCTCTTACTGTTAGAAGGTTTAAAAGAAACCAAGCTGCTCAACAGACATTTAAAAGAGCAAGCTTGGTCTGAAAGCTCATTTACGGTGCATGAAAACATTAAAGGCCACTATGAGTGAAGCCGATCAGAGAGACAAAATGGGGCAGAGATGCAGAGACATTTAAAAACATAAATAAGGGATTTAAAAGTGTGTCTGGAATTGAACTGAAAGGTAGAGGAAGAATGTTAAAACTGAATTATGCTCTGTTTCTTCCAGTGGCAGCACCTAGAAGTTATTGCATTGTCTAACAATGTTCTACTATAATAAAACTTGAATCCCTCAGGAAATTCAACTCAAAGATTTAAAACATTTTTTAAAAGAGAAAGGTTTATAAGGAGATGCAGTAATTTCTACAATCACATCCAAATGGCAGTGCGTAGTTAAGGGTATGAATATAAACATGGGTCAGTGTACTAACATTTTGAGCAATGCCAGTTGAGTCTAAAATAGCCTATAAAGAGGCACTCCCTTTTAGTGACTCTTAACATTAATGTTAAAATTATCCGATATATTTACCTTACCAGCATTTAACAATAATCAAACAAGAATTCGTAGAACTGGTGAAAATTGAGAGAAAGAGCCCAGTGGATGAGACAAATCAACAAACAGGAGTATTCTTAGTACTTTGCAATTTTGATCAAATACTCAAAAGAAATATAGCGCTTAGTTGTTCTGAAATTGATTAATAATTTGGGCTGAAATGTGGTTGCAAATCTTACTTCTTGCCCAGTTGATGTTGTCAGCCAGGTTTCTGTAGGACATAATAAATCAACGTAATTATTGCAATCAATCAAAGTATTTGAATATAGAGCTTCAGTGTTCAATAAAACCACATTTGATTTTTTTTCTCTGTTCAGAGGAAGTTATAAAAATATTTAATTCTACGATTGTCTTTCAAGTAAAGTCTGGAGATTACGGTATTAAAGTGACTGTCGTTTAAAACAAATGCAAAGCATATTTTTTTCTTTGTGAACAGATGGAATAATCATTAATGATATTGTTTCACTTTAAACCTAAAGTATATTCTACCTTGACTCTGTGTGTAATTCAAAATCCCAATATAATACTTAATAGTTTGTTATAATATTATTTCAAGGTGTCTGAATACTTTCCTACTGTCAGTATGATCGGTGAAGTCAAAGTCAAATAGAGGAGGCTGATTAATGTCGGTGCCGTCTGGTCATGCCCAAGTGAGCGCAGGCTAGAAGCTTGCTTTTGTTTTCGCTGTCAAACACTGGAAACGTAGTGAGGTCAGGGAGGGGAATGGTATTTCAGCTCCAGGGGTTTTTCAATTCCCTGGAAACAAATCTGTCTTTCATTTCCAGCACAAGATTGAGAAATTAGATATTAATATACATGTATTAGAAGATACGTAAACTTATTTCTTCTCACAGTTTGACCTCAAACCAGTGTAATCTTTTCTATTTGTGGAATATGAGTGACCTGTATGTAATGTAAGGCTCTTCAAACACACCAGAAGGATGTTTTGAAATAATCTAAATAAATCAGTTAAGATATCAGAAAGAGAATGTTGAAACGTCAGGCTACAGCTCTCATATGTCTGATGGTGTAATATTCATCTGTTAAATAATGACACTCAATCATTCAAATCTATTCAGTTTATTTCTATAGCTCCAATTCACATCATGTCATCTCAGGTCACTTTCCAGTTCACCAGATCATCCAGTCAGATTGATTCAAAGTTTTCTATCTAAGGAAAACCAGCTGATTGCATCGACTCATTGACTCTTCAGCAATCCCTCACACCAAGCATGCTTGTAGCGACAGTGGAGAGGAAAAACTCCCTCTGAACAAGAAGAAACTTCCAGCAGAACCAGAACCAGGCTCGGAGATCGTCTGCCTGGCTGTGTGTTTCCTGGAAGGGGCCGCCTTTTACAGCTGCCTTTTGTATCTATGCTTCTTTTTCTATGTCTGCTTCTGTCTCCTTGAACCCCAGTCGGCCTCAGCAGATGGCCGCTCACACTGAGCCTGGTTCTGCTGGAGGTTTCTTCCTGTTCAAAGGGAGTTTTTCCTCTCCACTGTCGCTACAAGCATGCTTAGTGTGAGGGATTGCTGAAGAGTCAATGAGTCGATGCAATCAGCTGGTTTTCCTTAGATAGAAAACTTTGAATCAATCTGACTGGATGATCTGGTTGAACTGTAAAGTGACCTGAGATGACATGATGAGAATTGGAGCTATAGAAATAAACTGAATAGAATTAAAGAAATTAAGTTAACACAGGCTTTAATACTCGTTTGTCAAACAGGGAAATAATAATCTATATACATCTATGATAAGTTCACCTGGAGTTGTGCATGAAGGTGAGGCAGCAGGAATCAGGTTACTGTTTTATTGTTATTGGTAGAGTACAGGACGTGAGTCAGAAAGGTGCAAACAAAAACCTTCATTGTTTATGGCTGACTGTTGGATCCATAGGACAGGTGCATTAAAAACCTCCTCAGATCCTGTAAAACTGTCAGGAATGAGTCAGTGCTCTGCCAGGCCTCATTGTCTTATTCTACCTCCGGGCTTCTCGGTTTTCTGGGGTCGCACTGATATTTGACCACTTTGGTAACAGGGATCAAACAAGCACAGGTAACTGCATCTATGAACACATTCTAGGCAGAGCGGTTTAGGGCGCAGGAAAAGGGTGGAGCCGCAGGGATCCATCTGAACCTGAAGAGCCGCAGAAGGAAATGGAAGGAGATGCGCTCTGAATCTGCGGTTTCTCCACCGCTGCAGGATGCCTTTAGGGTCTCGATTTTCCTTCGCATCTCTCGCTTTGCTCTCAAGTTTAATCAGTGAAGGTAAAGTGCTATCATGAGGCGCACCAGCGTGCAGCCCTCACCGCGAGCTGCGCGTAAAAGCGAGTGGCTCCGCAGCGCCCTGGCGCATCATCACTGCCCCGATCCAGGAGCCGAAAACGAAATAGTGGTCCTCGCCACTGGGATGGATCAGTACCTGCAGGAGGTCTTCCACCACCTGGCTCACCCCAACCAGGAGGATACTGTGTCCGCGGAGGACTTCAAGGCTCTTTGCGCTGTGCTGGGACTTCCCGCAGAGACAAGGACGCCCAAAGCAGAGGATGGAAGCGGAGATGGTGGAATAGACCTGCAGCAACAGGAAGACTTTATGGACGTTTGCGCAAGTTTACCCCACCAGCTGTCCTTTAAAGACTTTCACTCACGGCTCTGTGGGTATTTCCGTGTGCGCAGTGCGCCCGCAGTCAGCGGAGACTGCGTCTGGCGTCTGCCGGTGTCTGAGGACACGGAGCTGGTGGAGAGACAGATCCGACTCCGGTGGCCCCGCGTCCGGCGGAGGAAGTGTGTTAGTTTCGATTTGAGCAGAGATCAGACTGGAACCAGGAGCAAATCCACCAAAAAGGGAACCATGGAGGGCCTCCAAGACCAAGGTAACAGGATGGTTGATCCTTTTAGGGTTCATGTTCTATATGTCCAACTATAGAGACTTATATAATGAAATGATCTGAAACTTTGGATTCACCTTCATTGATTTATTGCTCTGTAAAACATAACAGACCTCATGCTGCAGTTTGAGGCCATTTAGGGTCTGTTTCCACCAGCTTAGCAAATCCACAACTTTAATGTCCATTATTTTTATAGCCAGGGGCGAATTTAGGAAATTTGAGGCCCTAGGCAAAGACAGGCAGGGACCCCTCTGAATTGAGCAGACAACACATGAACAGCCCTATAGACATCCATTATCTGTTCTAGGTTGTGTCCCTCTCTTCTTGTCCCTTTTCTTCTTGTTTTCCTCTCTATGTTTTGT